TTCGTAAAGCATCAAGGGTGGCGTGGATTTGCCAAAGCTGAGTGCTCCCCTGATGTTTCGACGAAAATTGCTGCTACAAAGAGTGTAAATAAAAGGATTCGTGGCAGAGTTAAGACCTACAAGAACAACCGAGGTAATGTAGGTGTTTGAGCCGTATGCATAAAGGTCAGGCTCAAACTGAGACAGCATGTATAGTACTAAATTTGGTAACCAACACACTGTGTACAAGATGCTAATCACTGCCACCATTCTAGTCACCTTTAGTTTTCTTTTGAGTTTATCTTGGTCGGTCGTAAGTAACAAGGGTGTACGCTCCCCTCTTTTCCAAACCCTGCTGAGAATTTTCGAGTACAATGGTGCCATAACTCCCATGGGAATTACTCCGAAGAAGAAGAAGGCACCAACAGTGTATGCTTTAGCCAGTGTTTTATTCGGCCACTCCTCCATGCAGTGAAATTTACTATCTTCATAGTGAACAACAAAGAACCATGGCAAGTTGAAAACCAGGGAATAAATCCAACTACCCATTATGGCAGCAGTTAATCGACGCCTATTTCTACGTCCTGGAAGCTCGCCACGGGGACGAACAACTGTAAGGTAGCGCTCAACTGCGACCGCTGCTAAAGAAAAGGCGGACGCCGCTCCTCCAATCCAAATAAAGCTTCCTCCAGTAATGAATTTGCACATGTAGTCTCCTGCAGTGCCGTTTGGGTGGTGAAATGCCCATTTGACCACGTACTGTGGAGTAATAGCAAGAGCCACCATCATGTCCGACACAGCGAGGTTTACCAGCAGGTAATTTAGTGGTGCTTTCATGCCGTGAAATCGCAAAACCACTAAGCACACCAAACCATTACCAATGAGATTGATCAAAACAATCACAGAGAACGCCACGGTAAGGATAATATCTGTTGTTGTCATAGTTATGTTTACTGGTGCTGTCGAAGCTGAAAGAGAAGTAAGAAATATTGGAAGTCAAAGTCCTCTCTGTGAGTGAATTTCGTATTGTTGGCTTTTCCTGTCGTTTACAATCTTAGCATAGTGATTGACGCGATGCTTTCCAGTGTCTAATTTTTTGTCATGTCCATTCGATATACTCCTGTCTGGCAAAACCTGTTCAACATGTATGTACAATAGACGAACATATGAACATATATCTCCAAGGAGTCTGCAATAGGGCTGTCCCTAAGATGTTCGGGAACGTTTGGGCAACTTTTCCGATTTCGGGCAACTGTTTTCATATGGGAAACTTCTTATGTTCTAAGACAGCTTTTTTAAATTATAACAGACCAAACTGGCATATGAAGTAATATTCTCGCTTTTTGGGTCACAATCATCACACACGTTTTCTAATCATTTCTTTCCACTGATTTTTTTCATAAGTCCTAGGCCAAAGAGTCACAGACTTTCAAGCTATTTGTAGATTCATCTTCCGCGATAAAAAAACCTCTTATGCAGCCAATCTGAGCAAAGAATATTTAAAGTACATCACAGAAATGGCGAATATAGAGTCAAGCGAAAGTAGTTTAAACCATAGCGTTACATCAGATAGAGTCATTCAGCTTCATAAATGAAAAGTCATCCGCTAGAGAAGGAAGCCATTCCAGTAGTGAAGAACACAGCAAACTATCTGGTAGAAAGAAATATCCTAATTTTACAATAAATAAGCAATTTCCTGCTCTCTGATTGGTCAAGAGCTGTGTTCTATGAGAAATGACACAATGATGACGCTATTTGACTGTCTCTCGGCACTCTCGTGCGCCATTTTCCGGGAAAGTTAACCAGAAACCAAAGTTAAAAACTTTAATTCAAAGTTAAAATATGGTAAAACAACAAATGGACAACAAATACGTAATATCCCATATCCTTAGCGACCATAGAAATGACGTCAAAACGTTAAATCTTTTTGTGACACCATTCTCTCTTTTTGCTAATGGTTCCACTTGAGTTTTGAACATGCTGTAATTCTTTCATTGGGGAAAGTTCATTTAATATGTCAAGGGGGGGATGAAGATATTGAGGGGGGGCTCCGAAAATTTTTAGACACCCGAAGGGGGGCTCTGAAAAAAATTGTTGCGCTAGGAGGGGGGGAAAATTTGTATACTTCAAAACCAACACATGACATCATCATACAGATCGGATGGTTTTCAAGTCAACAATTTAATGACCTGTGCAACTCAGCTATATCACGTGGTTTACAGATATAACAAATGTAGTCTCAGTAATTATTACGCTCTTGTTCATCCCAAAAATGCAGGGATCTCATCACAACTGTATCTCAAGTTTGTCATAGTATAAACCATTGAAGACAATAACGGTAAATATATTTAATACAGTCTAGCGATCTTTTTTCCGGGGAACAAAGGAATTGAAGGAGGAGGGGGGGGGGGGCTCTGAAATTTTTTCGACTACCAAGGAGGGGGCTCCTAAAAAATTGAACCGCTAGCGAGGGGGGCTGCTAAAATTTCAAGCTTCGAGTTTCAATATCTTCATCGCCCCCCCTTGTCATATTAAATGAACTTTCCCTTGGTCTATATAGACTATGGAAAATTGTTGTCTTTTTATTAAATAGCCATCTTAGTCTTGACGCTTTGTGTCTCCACATTGGTAGCAGAAGAAGATCGAGGGGTGATAGGTTACCGCATATTTTTTTTTTCTAAACTTGCAAAAACTCCTTAGAAATGATGAAAAATAGATCGCTATCAATATTAATACAGTATCACTTTTTACAACAACTTGATTGAATGATGGGGTCTTGAAAGGTGGTGCTAACTTTGGAGTTTGTGAATGAAATCCTTTGGTGTGACCTGTTATGCAAATAAAACCTTTCCAGCAGCACTACCACATTTGATTCTAGTTTTAGCTCATTTTACAGGAAAAAAATGTTTTTTCGCATTCCACAGAATAACATTTGGAGTCTTCGTCGACTAAATCTGCGACTTTGGTCAGCTCTGTGAGTGAAGGGATAGAAATATGAAAAAGACAAAAAGGAAAAATTTGGTTATGCTTGAAAATACTTCCCCGCGAGAACTGCTGAAGAAGCAGAGTACTGTTTAAGAAACTACCTCGTTCATTTCTTTTAACGACTGAGTTGTGTCGACCATATCATAATAATATCTGCATAATTTATAACGCCATAAAAGTCAAAATGGCTGGAGGAAATTATACAATCATGCATGAACACCTAAAACTACCTGAAGCATAACAAGTAGGAGAGCTAACCACACTGTCCTCTGCATTTAGAGGTAAACAGCACGACTTAATTAAGATCAGTAAGGGGTCATAAAGTGTTCCGTTGCCACTTGTCACGTTGGCATAATTGTCACCTTAGCGATTAACATTATTATTTTGTGTGTGTGGCGGAAAATGTTCATATTCTTATGGTTGTGAGGTAACGGTAAAACGTAGTGTTGGTGAAATGTTTTTCTCAATCAGTTTTGACGCATAACCAACGATGTTAAGAGGCTGTCGTCCGCGTAAGAACCGATAAGGCAAATTTCGGTGTATCACAGATTGCCCGGATTTTTTCAGTGAGAGATAACTATCCTATCCCGTGAAGAAATATCACATTTATTTGGACCAACCCAATTTTTCCTCTATATTACAGGAAGATTTTCTCGGTCACCTAAAACTGGCCCGTTTGCAGTCAGAAGTGGTGCGATTTTGCTGAAACTTTAGGGCTCTGTCAAACCTACCTTACATGGCCGAATAAGCTGATTATTTTACACACAAAAGTTTTAACTCTGATTAACAGTGTCAAAGGTTAATGGTTGCATTCTGGGGAAAGTTGGCTGAGATATGATTTTTTTAAAATGACCTTTAATTTGCTCAGCAGGAAGAGTAATTTGCATAACTAGAGCTGAACAGTAATTTCGCAAAAGTGGCACCTGACCCAGACTCAGGTCTATGATAAATCAGAAGTACTAAGACCAGTCTACTTCTTAACTTAATAAAATTTGTGGGCACTCTTCTCTGCGCGCTGTACAAAGTTCCGTTAATGTTACAAAAATCGCCATTTTGACAGCAAAGCTGGAATTGTAACGGTCCGCATTTGATCGACTGATTTCCACAATTTTAACGTTTTTAGTTGTCACCAAATGTCATTAGACCCTTTAAATGTTAGAATTTTGAAAACACGAGGAGAAAACTTGGTAATCGCTTTTTCTTGGTTTTTTTCCTTGTCGACGATCAGAACGCGACTTCATTCTCCGTATGCAAATTAGCCTTAGATGCGTCGTTTCAACAAATTGACAGGAAACATAACTGCCTTTATTTCACATTTTTAAGGGAAAAATATCTCTTCTTTCCACGGAAAAACAGGAACGATATATTACTTAGAATCCCCTTAGGTCTGTTTCCTTTACGAGGAAGAAGCAGTACAAGAAGATATGTTTAAGCGAATTAGTAGTGATAGGGGCTACTATAGGTCCTGACCAATCAGAGCGCAGCAAATTTGGTCTCGACCAATCAGCATCGCGCATTTCACCCATGTGACTTATTGACGTCACAACCCATTGTTTTAAACCACGTGACCCCATAGGAATAAAGAACACGCACACACAAGAGTTGAATCTACATTCTTGACATAGTTTTAATGAACCGCGTGAAGTCCTGGGTACAAGCGGGACGTGTGTGACACCCTAGTGATATCACGCCCATTTTTTTTTTTATATTAATGCACGAAATCAAAAAAAGGTGTTTGCTTCATGGCAGAAGAAGTCATATGACTGGGATGAGGCCATTTGATGTAGTGGTTGAAACCTGTGTATGACCATGGTTTGAGGAAAGGGAATTTGATCGTGGCCAAAGTGACTGAAACGAATTGAATAAAGGAATGGTTAGATCCAAGAAGCAAACTGGATGAGATACAGCCGACCATTGGCACGCACGAGGCGATGGTTTAGGGTCCAATGATTGACTGGAAAATAAAAAAACAGACCTCGATTACAAGTGGGACGTGTGTGACACCCTGGTGGTGTCACGCCCTTGAAATGTTTGTTTACAATAATATTCTATTAAAATCCAGTCTTGATTATAATCAAAATGGTCTAGGATCCAGTGACAGGCTAATAAAAAATCATAATCTTGGTTTGAGTATCTAGGAACCAATGACATACTAATAAAAAACGAAAAAATTAACGCTTTAGTTGGAGCCAATGGAATTTATTGGACCCTCTAAGAGCATCTAAGAACCACTGACATACTGATGAAACAAAAAAAATCAATGTCTGAGTTTGAATAAATGGAGAAAACTAGACCATCCTTGATGATTGACAATGCAAAGTTTGTGAGGGATAGGCCAGCTTCGAAAAATCATAAGATCTTGAATGAGCCAATGAGAATCTAATGAAGAACGATAGAAAGTTGATGAGGGATGGGCCATCCTCGAAAAATCATAGCAAAGTCAATGATCCAATGGGATTCTAATGAAAAAAAATAATCATTTGAACGGATGAACATCCAGCAGGGGTGGCGCCACCATGCAGACCTCCCCCTGCCGGGTGTTCAAAAATCCCATCCTGTGCTTTCTAAAATGTGACATCCCCAACAGGGTTCATGGAGGGTGTTCACGTGACGTGAATACGTCCAACAGCGTTTGCACACAAAATACAACTGCTTCATCAGATAAGCATGGTAATATCTGGTGTGATTCTCTATTATCTGGGCAGTGGCTGAAAAAGGCAAGGGATATAAATAGCTCGTATGACAAAACGAGTGTCTGAAACGAAAAAAACAACGGATGGGTGTTAATCACGGGGTGGATAGCCCATCCCTTGCATCAACTCACACCAATAACAGGGCACATCTAAATCGCGCACACGACGAAAATTTAAAAAACAACGACAACAGAGTAATTTGAGGGGTCTTGGATAAGGTGGAAGGGCAACCCCTGTTCCAGTGTACCATTGTACGATACTACC